ATGATTAAAATCTGACACACTAGCAACACCGCATGTGCAGCAACAGAAATTTTCATTTGTTGCTGGTGTGGATGGAAAATAGTACACCTACTTTGAAAGACAGTTGGGCAGTATGTACCAAAATGAAACATACTCTTACCGTATGATTTGGCAATCACATTCCTTTGTATTCCCCAAAAGGAGTTGAAAACTCATGTCTACACAAAAACTGCACATGGGAGTTTATAGCAACTTTATTAATCACTGCCAGAACAACTTTGAAGAAACAAAACTATCCTTTAGTAGGTGAATGAATAAACTTTGGAACACCCAGCTAATAGAATATCATTCAGCAATAAAAATAAATGAGCTATCAAATCACAAAAAGACATCAAGAAAACTTAAATGTATATTACTAAGTGGGAGAAGCCAATCCTAAAAGGCTACAAACTCTATGATTCCACTTACATCACATACTGAAAAAGGCAAAACTATAGATACGTTAAAAAAAAAAAAATTAAAATGGTTGCCAAGGGTTAAAGAGGAAGGAGGGATGTATACACAGAGTAGAGAGAATTTTGGGGGCAGTTATATCTTACTTTCTCTGTAGGATACTAAGATGCAAGATTGATACATCTTATTACACATTTGCCCAAATCCATAGCTTTTACATCAGCAAGAGTAAACCACTCTAGTGTAAACTGTGGACTTTTGGTGATTATAATATGTCAACGTATGTTCATAAATTATAACTAACATATACCACTTTGGTGGGAAATGTTGACAATGAGAGAGGCTGTGCATGTGTTGAGACAGGAACTATATGGGAAATTTCTCTATCTTCTGCTCAATTTTGCTGTGAGCCTAAAACTGCTCTAAAATTAAAGTCTATTAAAAGAAAAAGACATACCAGATTCAGTGGCTGAAAGATCAAATTATATCAGTGCAACTGTATAATCTCCAAAGGTCAGACATACAGACCCAACTTTGCCAAATAGTTGAATCCTAGTACATGTATCCATGCTAACTTCCCAACTATTTTAGAGTTTCTGATATTATTAATAACCACACGAGCTATCTTTTCAGGAAACAAGGAAGTATAATAGTGAAAAACAGAAGAGTGACATACATTTTCAGATTAATATTTATTCATGAAGAATATGAGAATGAATTTCTATTCTGATGCAGTGAGTAGCTGATCTTTCATGCATTAGAGGTTTCTTCCTTTGAGAGTGATAAGAGTTCAATTACTTGATCTTTTTTTTATTTCAATTGCTTTTTCTAGAAATATGACTCAGCAAAAATGGTGGGCTGAGATGTGATACATTTAATTCAGTGATTCTGAAGGGAGACGCTGCCAAATACAGTTTCTATAAGTCCCAAGCTGGAATTAAAATTTTTGAAATGTCCTCAACTCTTTTTGATCTGCAATTATAGAATCTATAAACTACATAACAGTAGTTTTCCCCTTATCTTCCGAGTACATATTCTCAAACCCCCAGTGTATGCCTTAAACCATGGATATTACTGAACCTCATGTACACTGTCAAGGGTTAAGGAAGAAGGAGGAATGAATACACAGAGTAGAGAGAATTTTAGGGGCAGTTTTTTCCTATACATACCTATAGTATAATTTAAAAATAAATTAGGCACAGTAAGAGACTAACCATAACTAATAAAAAACACAGAACAATTATGAAAATATGCCAGTATCACTGTTCTTGCACTTATTATTAATAATTGCTATTACTAAGTAAAGCAATCGCTACTTGAACACAAGCACTGCAATACTGGATACTGCAACAGATGAGATGGCTATTAACTGACTCACAGTCAGGTAGTACATACAGCATGGATACACTGAACAAAGGGATGAGTCATTTCCATACTAGTTGGAGTGAGATGGTTTGAGATTTCATCAGGCTACTCAGAATGGCATGCAATTCAAAACTTATGAATTGTTTATTTCTGAAAATTTCTGTCTAATATTTTCAGACTGCAGTTGACCACTGTTAACTAAAACTGTGAAAAGTGAAAACACTCATAAAAGAAAACTACTGCACACATATTGTAGAGTTGGCTACTGGTTAAGACAGTACCATGGTAGGTGCCAAAATCCATCAGAAATAATTATCACAAGAACAAAACCAACACCGTCAATCACAGCAACTAATCTCTGTTGAGTAAAATATGGTCAAAATAAACATCCAGTGAAATTTCAGAGCCAACAATTAAAATCAGCCTATCTGATATTGATATTTATATTCTTAAAATTTTTGAGTTTTACATGTAGAACATAATACATTTACCAACTGCCTTCTGTAGAAGTCTGAAAAATACTGGTCTCAATTAACTGGTAGTTATTACAGGCCAAGAGAAAAACTGTGAGAATGCAGATAGCTGAGCGAGCCAAGACAAGCAACCACTTCTCAAAATATTTTCTCTTTTTACCTCTATTTCAAGAACAATTCTTACTGGCTTCTCAGGACATAGAAACACTCAAATCAATGGAATTAGAATAAAAATCTCCACTATTGACAAGGCAGAGAAAAATGAAATGTTGTACCAGGAAAGTAAGAGTGACAGGGTTATCTGTGCTTACCATTATTCCTCGAACAAATTATTTTTGATTATTTATTTTTTTCTATTTCTTATACCAATATAAATTTATTTACACACAACCTAAGATGTATTTTCATATGCATGTTTCAAATCCTTATTTAAAAGGTATAATAAAACAAATATACTAAGGGAAAATAATGATGTTAATTAGACAGTGCTTTTGTCTTGCTTAAAAAGTATCATTATAAATATATAAGAGCAAATTTACATACATCCTAATAAAGATCTAAAATAAACTAATATTTAGGGCACACACATACACACACACATACAGTGTGTTTTCCCAAAGTTTTATAGCTACAGCTGGAATTGATACCAGTGAAAGGATTTTACTCAACGATATTCATAATGATAGGCAAAAAGTTCTTGTTTTAAACAGCATCAATATAGCCATCTAAGAAAAGAAAATTGTCTTGAATCCTTTCTAAAATATTGATAAAATTCAGAAATCACCAATATTCATAGCAATTATCAGAAACTCTTCTGGAAGTCCTTCTTATCTTCAGTATGGGGAAATTCATTTCATTGGGATTGTGTGACTGAACTGATAGGCTAGAGACCCATGTTTTGTCCTATGAAATTCAGAGAAAACTCCAGCTTGAAATAAAAAGGAATGTACACTATTTTTGTGAATTGTGAAGTTCTACAGAATCCACAGTCACAGCAACCACAGTCTTGAGCTGAGTTCTCCTACAGCTCCTTGTCTACCATCAGTCCTTCTGCTTCATTAGTTTTTCAGAGATAGAAACCCCCATAAGTAACAGAAGTATGGAAATATTTGTGATGACATACCCTTGAAACAGAGAGAGAGTGTTGCAGGCAAAGGTGGAGGCAAGGAGGCCACATAAGTAAGATACTTAGAATTGAGGATTTTTCATGTCTTCACTCCTGAATACCAGAGAACCAGATAATGAGGATGGGAAAAGGCCTAAATCTGTCCAGCAGAGCTGAAGTAATTGAACAAAACTATATATCAGAAAAATGACCAAGAGATTTGCATATCAATCTGACCCTTAGCCTCTCTTGCACATGGGAAGGATAGAAACTTTGAGCTGGGCATGGTGGCTCATGCCTACTCATCGTAGTGACTTGAGATGCTGAGGCAGTAGGATCCAGGAGTTCAAGGCCTCAACGAACTATGGTAGCACCACTACACTCCAGTCTGGGTGACAGAGAGACATCCCATCTCTAAAATGAACAAAGGAAGAAGAAAGTTTGAAAGACAAGTAACACATTTTCTCTTACTGTTGTCAACACTAGGTCTGTTATTCTAAAATAAATTAAAACATCAAAAACATAAATCCATGAAGGATATTTGAGATAAAGAAACAGAAATTTTATTCTAGTATACTATTCTAAGTCAAAGCATATCTATGAAAATTATTGATTGCAAGCACAAGAATATCATTTTAGACATCTTTTTGCCATTCTTAATATAATAATTAATTCACTATATGTTGCAGAATTATAATATTTTAAAGGGAAAATTCTCAGATCAAAACAAAACAACATAAGAGTTTATCTTACTGCTTTCGGTGTTCTAGGCACTATTTCAAACTTTTTGTCAATTAATTTGATCATCACAGAAAAATCTAAAGTCATGTTATTATTATTATTATTCCCTTTTATCAATGGGAAAGTTGAGACTTTAAAAATTCAGAATCCCCCCAGGATGGTACCACTAAAATTGGCTAAGGCAAACTCAAACACATTTCTTTCTGAGTCCAAAGCCCACGACATTAAATATTTCATTGAACCATAAGCTTTCTACATTTACAAATTTTTATAAAATATAGGATTAATTTATTGAATTCAGTAACAAAATTAATGACAAATACACAACCTGTTTTCATGGACAAACATTTTAAACTTTCTGTTCATACTGAGGTAGTATCTTTAATAAGACATAAAGATATGGTAAATTTGCCATTCTCTTAGGAAAGTTGTGAGAACTAATAGTAATAAATACAAATGAAATTACTCATTGAATATTAGAATATGAAATGACACACAATATACTCCATTAACCAGTAAGATAAACACTGAGGTATGAATACTTTATATAATTTTTACACAGTTATGTTTTCTTCTGGATCAGTCAATAGATTTAAGCCTATTGATAGAATGAATCAGTTCCCACCTCACCATCTTCCACATCTCTCTAGCCTGGCTAGGTTTCTCAGGTATTCATTTCCTAACCAAACCCATGACACAGCTGCTGAGTCCAAGGGTCAGTCCCAGGTATACAGGTCACAAGTTATGCCTTGGGCAGTCTACGTGGCCGCTGCTGTGCACAGATGGAGTTAGCAACATCGCCAAAAACATGCATCTCTTCAGCTTATGTGAAGAAATAGTTCTAGGCAGTTGCCGTGGGTGTCATCAAAAAATATATATATATATTTTTTTGACACAAGACATAAAAACTTTTAATGGAGGATGATAATGAAGGAGGACACAGCCCAGAGCCCTCCACACGCCTCCCCTGTGCAACCCAAGCTCTGTCCATGGAGACTGGACAATCAGAAGGTGTTCTTGATGCGGCCGGCCACCAGCCTAAGGACCTCCCCAATCTTCTTCTGCCAATTGGCGATGTCCTTGGACACGGCGCACCATAGCTCCCCATGCCGAGGCTCTCCGCTCTCACAGCGCTTCCTCACCTCCTCCTGCTGCTCCTCAGTGCCATGCTGCAGCTCAAACTTGTAGAAGAAGGCCCAGGCGTCCCCCAGGTCCGAGTCGATCTTCACTGTGCGGTGGAACCACTCCCTGGCCTTGGTGATCTTCCGCTCACTCCAAAACAGCTTGGTCACGGCCAGGAGCACGTGAAGGTCATGCTCACACTTCTTCAGGGCATCCACGCTCTTGGTTTTCCTCTGGGGCCTCGCCTCCACGAAGATAGCCTCAGACCACAGGATACCGGAGTTAGGGCACTCCTGCAGCGCCTTGGCCATGAGCGTGTTTGCGATGTTCTTCAGCCCCGCACGGTACTCCAGCCGCACAGACTCCAACCACAGTCCAGGGTTCTTTGGGTTCTTCAGACGAGACTTTTCCAGAATGGCCCGTGCTCGAGTAAGCTGCCCAATCTTCTCCAGCCGAGAGAGCAGCAGCCACAGGGCTGTGGAGTGGGGACACTTCTTCAACCCCTGGTTGTAAGCTTCCCGTGCCTTCTCCATCAGCTCCTTCTGCTCCTCGATCTGCCCCTTCATCATCCACATCTTGGGGAAGTCCTGATAGTGCCGCAGGGCCTCCTCGCACAGGTCCTGCGCTGCCTTGATGTTGTCCTGCACCCATTCCAGCTTCACAGACTTCATGAACACCCGGGCGGTGGGGGCGCTGCTCCGCGCCTTGGCCAGCAGCCTCCGGGCCGCTCATACTCATCATTCTCAGACTCCAGCTTCACAGCCACCAGCCAGATCTCCTCGCTGTTGGGGTTGGCCTGGAAGGCCAGAGTCAGAATGGCCCTTGCTGCGGGCACAGCCCCTGCCAGCCACTTGGACTTGACACCCATGAGCCACAACACCTCCGCTTTGGGGCAGTGGGCCACAGCCCTCTGCAGGAGTGCTTCCAGGGACTCCCGAGTGCCATGGTTCTTCTCGAAGCACGCAGCACACAGCCACACACTCTTCTTGCTGGGGAACACTTGCAGGGTGTAGGCGTAGATGGCGCGTGCACAGTCCAGGGCATTGTGGGCCACACAACTGTCAGCATCCTCCATCCAGGTGTGCTTCCGATCTTCCTCCTTAAGGAGGAGGAGGAGCCGGGACTGGTCGAGGGTGACCCGGGGGACCGCGCCGTTGAGGACCCGGAGCTGGAAGCTATCAAAGCCAGCCTCCATGTTGCCCGACAGGTACCGGTGTCCCACCAGGCCTGGTGCCCTCCTGCACCGCCTACACGCGCCAGCCCCCCACTTGCTTCCTAAAGGCGACCCTGCCCCACACCCGCATGCGCCCGGCGCGGCCTGCCCAGGGCCAGTGGGGGGGCTGCATCCCACCGGTGCCGACCACAGCCCTGCCTGCCCTACAGCCCAGTGGGGTTTAATCAAAACGCGATGCTTTGTGAATCTTTAAAGCTCGGAGGTGGCCGAGTTGGGGGCCCTGGGCAGGGGAAGGCTGGCGCTGGTGCCATGGCAAGCCAGGGTCCCTTCCCGTGGGGTCTGGCCCTATCCCAGCATGTCCAGCCCCTGAAGTTGGGGGAAGGGGATCTGCCTTTGCTGCCACTGCCAGGCCAATGCCCTGCAGCTGAGACTTGGCCGCACATCAACAGAAAACCCCTCCCAGTGCCAGCTGCACAGGGTGGGTGGGCCCTGGGGGCAATACGGGTTCGACCTGAGGGGCTGCAGGGCGACACCCAGCAGCCACCGCCCCATCACTGCCCACTTAGCAAGGGCAGCCTGCCCAAGCCTGCCCCTTGCCAGGTGTGCCCTGAGGCTGCTGGCTAGACATGTGGCCAATAAAAAGCAGACGTAGCCCCCCCAAAAAAAAATTTGTGTGTGTGTGAGCAACATGGCTGTTTATTCACCTGGGTGCAGGTAGGCTAAGGCTGAAAAGGGCATTAGCAAAGGGCAGTGGGATAGGAGTTGGCTTTATAGGTTTAGGTTGTTTTTTGGGGGCCGGGGCGTTGCAGAGTAAGTTCAGTTACAATGGCAGGGTTGGGTGAGAGGTATTTATATTATCATAAGAACAGTTAAGATGGCAGGGTTGGGTGAGGGGCTTGTCCGGGAAGCTTTGCTGGGCCATCAGAGACAATGGCAAATGCAGGCAGAGGGTGGGAGACTTCAGCCGAGGCAAGCAGGACTTCAGACTTTCAGGCTCCAGGCTTGCCTATGGAGACCTGACATTCCTGTTTTTATTAACAAGTTTGGGTATGAGCAGAGAATGGGAGCCAGATTTAGAGTGAAATATCAGCTGTAATTGCTTTTTTTCTCATAGTAGCTCATTAGTACTGTAGTAGATTCAAATAGAAACAGGCTTTTTGAGCTGTGGTTTAAGTAGCAGGGGCGACTGCAGAAAGGTGGAGAAGGCGAGGGGCTGAAAGCAAGTGTATGAGGTGTGAAGAGAAAACTTTGCAGGTGGTGAGAGCTGGAGGGCAAGCAGGGTGTAGCCTGTGATTAAGGTTTTGTTTTGTTTCCCTGAGTATGCAGTTAAATTTGTGAACATTAGAGGATCAGTAGTGTCACTGCCCAGCTGCCCCCCCAGAGTGCTTGGTAGGAATTAAATGAGGTACAGTGGCCTTCCCCTGTAATCCCAGCACTTTGGTAGGCTGAGGAGGGAGGATTCCTTGAGGCTGGGAGTTTGAGACAAGCTTGGACAACGTGGCATATACCCTGTCTCCACAAAAAAATTTAAAAATTATGGCCAGGCATGGTGGCTCATGCCTATAATCCCAGCACTTTGGGAGGCTGAGGCTGGTGGGTCACTTGAGGCCAGGAGTTGGAGACCAGCCTGGCCAATATGGCAAAACCCCATCTCTACTAAAAGTACAAAAATTAGCCAGGTGTGATGGTGCACACCTGCTATCACAGCTACTCAGGAGGCTGAGGCAGGGAAATGACTTGAACCCAGGAAACAGAAGTTGCTTGAGCTGAGATTGTACTGCTGCAGTCCAGCCTGGGCTACAGAGTAAGACTTTGTCTCAAAAAAAAAAAAAAGTCCCACAGCTCCTGTGGGATACACTATGTTGAAGTACCATTTCTTCAGGGAAGATTAATTTGTCAATTCAGTCATGTATTTCAATAGCATGTTTCCCTGCACTACCTAAAAATTATATTGCTTTTTAGCACAATATATACATTCAGCACTAAACAAAATGACAGTATACCTTTGATAGTAAAGTATAATATTCAGAAATAGCATGTATCTTTTCAATAATAGATGGAAAGGATATCTCCAGACATCTGAAAACTTTTTGTTTTGGCCAGTATTTACACTAGGTTTTTTTTAGATCATTGAGAAAACTTCTGTATGAATCAAGCAAATTGTTACACAATGCTGAACTATCTCTTTGACCCTGTGCCCTGGGGTATGACTATTTTTTTTTGATTTATGCTATTATAATCATTTTTATAATAACCCAATACAATTAAACTGTAACTCAGTATCATTCCCTAAAATAATTACCTACTATAGTTCTGTAAGCAGAAAGTAATTTTAAGTAATGATAAGATTACCTTTCATGATTTTCAGCATGTATAACTCAGATTAGCTATCACCAGTTCTTCCAAATAGATTGATATCTAAAATAAATAAAACAGAAATTAATATGAGCAACACTGGTTTTATTATATTAGCCAACATGATTGTACTGAATAATGTTCAGCTGCAGCAGATTCTTCTTCACATTCAAACATTAGCTTATTCGAAATATTCCATTATCACCATTTGAGCTATTAAATTTTTTTTTAATTCTTATAACCTCTGAATTTAATGAGTGAATTTTATAATCTGTGCTTGGAAACTATCTTATATATTTGATGCACCTTTCTTATTTCACAGAATAAACTGAGAGCTAAGGATATTAGTTTCTTACTCAAGAGGAATATTCTCTATATCTAACTACATCTATATTATCAGTTATCTATCTTCCTTTCTCCCTCCCTTCTTTCTTTTCTCCCTTTCCTTTTCTTCTTCCTGTTCCCTTTCCCCATCTTCCTCCTCTTTCTTTTTTTTCATCTATATTTATTTTTTAAGACACAAATGCTGCTACTGAATCGCCATCCTGGCATGTAAGCATTTAGTCAGTTTTTGAATGCAAATAACTGACCTAATATTCTACATTAATGCTCAAAGAATTATAATTGTTTCCATGTTTCTAACAGAGACCTTCTTTGGGGAAAAGTTGGATCAATATTTTCTAATAGATCTACAATTCCAAATGTAGAAATCAACAGAGCATATCAGACACTACTCTGCACTTACTGGTATTTTAGATTTTCCATATCAATTAGGGAAGTATGGGAGAAAGCTGTAGAAGATGTAATTGTTAGCAATATAACCATGTCTTCTAGAATGTTCTTTTAATGTGTTTTTGTTTTTTCCTGATATTGTCTACAGAAGGTTCAATAAGTTGCCTGTCTGAGACTGACTGTAGATCACCATTTGGAAAAATAGAAAAAAGTAAAGGCTATTAAGTTCAGTTTTACCTGACACTAATCTTTCAACACACAGGAGAGAAAACAACTTCTTTCTGTCCAGTGCTTTTCAGTCTCCTAAAGTTTGAAATGTCTTCTCAAAATTTGGAATTCCACCACTTATAAACATTAATGAGGTTTGTTTGGAAGTCTTAGATAATGACAATAGTATTTTAGAATCAATATGAAAACCATAATGTGGCAAAGTATATTTAAAACTCATTTTATAATAATCATATCTTAGTCACTTAACTCAGTAGAGAAATTGCCACACTATACCCTGTGTTCAGAAAAACAGTTCTTTTTATGCCCTACTTATGATAAGGATCAAACTATCAGCATTAGCCCAAGATTAGTCAGTTCATATTAAGTATATCTGTTGGTGAGTCCTGTATTCTCCAAACAAAAAGAGGTAGTTGATAAGATGTTAGATCCCACTGTGTTTACTTATACAAGGTTTTTGAATTTGTTTTTTTATTTCATACATAGATTTGTTGCTAGCAAAATTATATTTTCATTTTTAATTTTATTTGTTTTACTCTGTGTTCTAAACAGAATGTCTAACTTTCACTGTTCCTCCTTTCCAGAAAACTGTGGGCTATAAACAAATGTGACACTTGTTATCTACCAGAAGTGAAGTTTTAATCTTCTTTCAATAGTAGAGTGTTGGAGTCCGCTCCAAACATGCTTACATTTAATTTGCTTAAGAAGGCTTGAACTAGACAGACTCCGCCCTGCAGTTAAATTGTTTTATTAATCTCTAATCTATTTAGGCCAGCTTTATTGACAAATCTAATAGCACATTAAAATCGGAAGATATTTAGATTTATCCATCAGAATTTCAATTAATTATCTAAGGTAATTGAAAACACTTTATATTACATTCTTATGAAACTATTTTTGCTTGCTTCTGTGTTTGTTTGAGATAGGGTCTCACTGTTTCTCCCAGGCTGGAATTTAGTGGCATTTTTAGTTCCCTGCATCCTTGACTACCTGGGCTCTAGTGATCCTCCAACTTCAGCCTCCCAAGTAGCTAGGATTAACAGGCACATGCCACCACACCTGGCTATTTCTTTTGTGTTTTTAATGGAGGTGAAGTTTCACCATGCTGCCTAGGCTGGCCTGGAACTCCTGAGTTCAAGTGATCCACTAGCCTCAGCCTTTCAAAGTGCTGGGATTATAGGTGTGAGCCACTGCATCTGGCCAAAACTATTTTTAACCGTTAATTTTAAGTTATAAAATTATTTAACATGAAATAATAACATGTATTTGATACATTAATAAATGTTAGTGCTAATTAACATTTTTATATTGTCTCTTAGTATTTCACAAATAGGCCCACGGGTCACCTAAAATCAGGCCATATGTGTCACGAGAGCACATATCATGTCTTAGACACTCTTTGTGTCTTCAGAAATATCCATTGCATTGCTACATTGCGAATATGGTAAGACTATAAATTAGGCTAGCTCAAATCTCTTTTCCCTTTGTCTTCTGATTTTCTAGTATGGTACTATGGACTGAATGTTTGTATTCTCCTGCAAATTCTCATGTTGAAGCTCTTATTCCCAGTGTGATGGTATCTGAAGTGGGGTTTTTGGGAAGTAATTAAGTTTAGATAAGATTATGAGGATGAAGGTTTCATAATGACATGAGTGCTCTTATAAGAAGAGAAATAGATCAGAGTACTTACTATACACTGTGTGAGG